CCCTTGGGCGGGCGGGTTGCCGCCCGGGGGTCGTGGGTTTTGCTTGGAGGGACCCCAGCCCCAGCCTGTGTCACCCCGGCCATTTGGGCCAGCGGAAAGGGGACGGAGCCACAAGCGGGTCAGGGGCTGGCAGAGGTGAAAAGTGCCTTCAGCGGACCCAAGGGGCGGCTGGCAGGGCTGGTGGCGGTGTTGGCGGCCGGGCACAGGGCTTGGACGGTCCTGGGGCTTCATTTTAGTTGTGTGGGGCCTGAGCCTTGACTTGGAGAGGGTGGGGAAGCACTGGGACAGGTTGCCCAGAGAAGCTGTGGATGCCCCATCCCTGGAAGTGTCCAAGGCCAGGCTGGATGAGGCTTGGAGCAACCTGGTCTAGTGGAAGGTGTCCCTGCCCATGGCAGGGGGGTTGGAACGGGATGATCTTTAAGGTCCCTTCCAACCCAAACCATTCCATGATTCCCTGATTCTCCTTTCCTTTCTAGCACATGCTGAAAGAAGATGAGATGTTTAAGGACTTTGCGACTCGCTCTCCCAGCACCAGTATCACAGACGAGGACTCCAACGTCTGACAGTAACCACCAGGCACCGCCCAAGGCTCGCTTTCCTGCGCGCGAGGAGCGCCGCCGGCACACCTGACGGGCAGCCGATCATGTACATCACCTTGCTCTTGCTTCTGTTCGTGAGAAGTAATACTGGGGGGCGGAGAATTTAAAGAAGAAGGAGAGGGGGAGGGGAAAAAAAAGGTGCCTACTCTAAAGTTGCCATAAGAAACACCCAGACACTGGTGAATGGTAATTGTTTTTACTATATTTAATGTACAAACGGGTGAGGTGTTTGAGTGTTGCCGTTAAATTTACCGTGGTATTATAGTGCTCCTTTTGCTTAGTCACGGCCTCGGGTCACCCTTTATGCTGTTTCAGACTAACAGCAGGTGTTAGGTGGAAGTATTGCGTCTGTGGATCTCGTGCATCAGCTTTCTCTAGGCTTGCAGCTGAAAAAAGGATGTTACTGCTCTTTTTCAAGTCCGTTTGTCCAGCACAAATACCGATCCTGCCCTTCCTACAGCACCCGGTGTGGGATTTTCGTCACCCGTGCCCGGCGTGAACTCCCCGGTAGCGCTTGGCTGTTGCTCTTATTTTTATACTGTTTTATAAAAAAGAAAAAAAAAAAGGTTAAAAAAGAAGTATGTGGCGTCCGTGTGAAAGCAAGAATTTACGTTTGCAGAGACAGCGGGATGGGAAGTGTGAGGTGTGTGGGGGAGAGGGTTGTAAAAAGCTTACGCCAGTTTGCGTACCAGCTGGTTACTGGAAAAGGCAGGCTGACCTTCGGAACTGTTTGCTTCCGTTGCTTTTATTCCGAGTGCGGTTTAAGGCTCTTCCGTTTGGGGTGAAACCCCGACAAAGCACGTTTCTCTTGGCAGTGCCTCGTACGGCCGCTGCGCCTGTTCGAATGTCACCTTTTTCCTGTTCCCGGCATTCCGACGGGGGGGCTATCCCTCTGCGACTGACATTCCCGTACCCTTGGGAGTACTCCCGGCGTATGGGAGGGACATTGCTGTGCCGTGACCGGCGTCGAGGTGGTGTAGTTGCCAAAAAATAAATAAAGGTATATAGAGAAATGTATAGGAAATATATTATTTCATAATATTAAACCAAAGGGGGGCACTTTCCCTCCAAAATTCAGATACCGGCCACGTTGCTCATCATTTTACCTCCTCAAAGCTCAGCTCCTCTGCTCCCCGGGATCGTCAGGTTTTAAAAACCCCAACTCGCCAGCGGAAACCTTTCGTCAGCCTTTCGGTACCGCCAGCCGGCCCGGCCGAAAGCAGACGGAACCGCGTTAACGCCTTCCCATCGCCCTCCTGGCGGGAGGTTTCCGACGCGTGGCTGGCGTGGGGCAAGGGCTGTCGGGTTCGCGCGGGGAGTTGGTGGTGTTTAAGGCTGGTGGTGCCTAGGAAAAGGAAGAAGGGGCTTCCAGGGAGCTCCCGTCGGACGCTGGGGTAGGCTGGAGGTG